CTTCCAGTTTCCTTCATTTCCTCCATTCTCTCTTTTGTTGCTCTTCCTGTTAACTAGGCATTTGCTCTACGTCTAACCTCAAAGTCACACCATGGTCATTCTAGAACAATGTTGGTTTAGAATGCACGATCTGTGATACTTAAAGTACGTTTATGCTTACTGGTCCCTAAATATATTGTACAAAAAGCCATACCTCTGACGTGGAAACAAGGCTAAGCGACAACTATGCACGAAAACATAGGAACTGGAGTGCAGAAAATGTCAGCAGGGGCCCTGGACTGATGAGTCAAAATGTGAAATATCTGGCTGTAGCAGGAGGTCGTTTGCTCACTAAAGGGCTGGAGAGCGATACAATAATGAGTGTCTACAGCAACAGTGAAGCATGGTGGAGGTTCCTTGCAAGTCTGGGGCTACATTTCGGCCAATGGAGTTGGAAATTTGGTAACGATCAATGATATCCTCAATGCTGGGAAATAGAAGCAGATACTTATCCATCATGCCATACTATCAGAGAGGCGTGTGATTGGCCCCAAATCTATTCTGCAGCAGGACAACGACCCCAAACATACTGCTAATGTTATTAAGAAATTTCTTCAGCGTAAAGAACAAGAAGTCCTGGAAGCGATGGGTTGGCCCCCCAGAGCCTTGATCTCAACATCATTGAGTCTGTCTGGGATTACATGAAGAGACAGAAGGATTTGAAGCAGCCTTCATCCACATGAGATCTGTGGTTAGTTCTCCAAGATGTTTGGAACAACCGACCTGCCGAGTTCCTTCAAAAACTGTGTGCAAGTGTACCTAGAAGAATTGATAATGTTCTGAAGACAAAGGATGGTCACACCAAATATTGATTTGGTTTGTAATTCTCGTGTGTTAATTTACAGCATTTTTTTTACACCTGCCTAAAACGTTTGCACAGTACTAAATACACACACACACACACACACACACACACACACACACTGTAACCCCAATCCCCATGGTCTTCACAGTCACTCACAAGCAGCCAATTCTATATTGAGAGCATTAGCCAGGCAAGCATGGTTACCATAGTATCGACTACATGTCTGGGATCATGCAGAGGCACCTTACATAAAAGATTATAGAAGATAATTAGCAGCTAATACCTTATTCAACGAGGTAGCATTAAACGGATCATTACTGCCAATACACTGACAATCTTTTTATTCTATACATTTTTCAATTGCAAGTAGACAGCTGCTCCACTATGGCCTATGACGA